ACTCTAGATTTGATATGTTTAAATTATCAAATGTGGTAAAACAATTTTTAAAATATATTAAGATGTTAAACTTGAATTTTTTACTGTTTATTTATATTGAAAGAACTCATTTTATAAACAAAATAAAGTGTTACATAAGCCACAATATTCAGCTATCTCCCAATATATGTCATTTGTATTCGGCCGAGCATCACAGATCAAACACCGTTTGAATGACTAATATTTACAGTAATACTGACACACTTTCTGTCCTCTGAGTACATCAGAAGTTCATTTCATTGTTTCAGTGTAAGTAAATTAAATTTTGTGCCGCGCATGCTTCATAAGTTATAAGTTCATATGTGATAAGTTCTTTTTTTATATAGCATAAAAAGGTATTTTCAGACAAAGGGAAATGAAAGAAAAATTTCGGACGGTACAAAATTTAATTTGAACTAATTATCATACGTTATTCACGTCATAGCCCAATATATTATATTTATATTTTTATCACTAACCTTTTCCTTTTACCTCTAAATATTTTAATTATTTATTTGATTATAATAAATAATCAAGTAACACGAAAAATTTTTAGTTCGAAAAGAGTATCACTGATGGAGAAGGCCGTAATATTTATTTATATTTTATTGTAGGTATTTTAATTTGTTTAATCATTGGTAAAGATACAAATTTTAATTTTTATATTGCTGTAATCTATAAAATTAAATACTATATTAATAAATAATAAATTAATAAATATAAAATAATAAGTATAGTATTAATAAATACTATACTTATTATTTTTTTATTATTTTTCTGTATAATTTATTTTATTTACTGTACATAGAGTGTGAATGTGATCTGTGAACACTATTATAAATGTCCTTGAGACAGATTGTAATATTTTTCAATAAATAAGATTAAAAAAAAAACTATATAACACCAACTCTACCATTTATAAAAACCGCAAATGAATACATATATATATATATATATATATATATATATATATATATATATATATATATATGTGTGTGTGTGTGTGTGTGTGTGTGTGTGTGTGCTGAGCACTAGGAATTTTTCCAGGAAGGGCAAGCTTAATTTTGACTCTTCTTCTTTACCTCTCCCTCCCTGAACCCATTTCCCAACTAAAGTATACAAGTTTGTAACAGTAGTTCAGATATTATACTTCGTAATAAATATGAATATATCATAACAAACTCACTTATCGGCAGAATTAAATTAAAAAAAAAACTAATAGAAATATTTTTATTTAACCCAAATATACAATTTCGTTTAGAATTTACCGCCTCCTAAATTCTACCACCCAGCGTAAGCCTCCCCTTTATCTTTGTCATGTTCCTGATTATGGGACGTCTCATTCAGATCTCCATCTGATCTCATACATCTCGCTCAGACAGTCGGAAGAGACAGGACAATTGTTATCGGGGGAGGGGTGAGAGGAGAGGAGACCAGATATTTCATTCCATCTGAATGTTGTTTATCTTAAAAGGAAAAAAAAAATACTAAAATTCAAGATGAATACACAGCAAGAACACAAGAGCTTTTATTAGGTGTTAAATGTTTATTACTTTATTTATTTGAAAAAAACAAAACAAACACAAAGGTGCAAAAATATTCATAAGATATTTTTGTAGGTAAGCGACGATTTAATTTTCATGAATCATTCGAGAAAAAAAATAAATTTTGATGAGCTTGTTTTTTCTTTATTTTTTTTTTAAGCTGCTATAATATTTTTAATTATTTATTTATAGATGCTAATTAGCAAGGACGCAGTCATTTTACGATTTATATTGTTATTGCCGATGTCCCTACCCAAGCATGTGGTGACCCACATTTTGATTCATCAGGGCATGTTACCACTGCAGTTGTTCAAATACTCAACAATCATTTAATGACTGAGTCCTGACTATTTGTCACCGATGATATGAAGAACAGTAGACTAACTACCTTCAATTATTCACTTATAGTTTTTACGTACACTTGTTAAACCAAGCAAAAATCAAAAACTTCGTCATAAAAAAAGTTTTTCAATATTGTTTGTCCACTTATGTCATTAAATCAATAGTAAAAGTGGGATGACTTCATTTAAATTTTCAGTTAAGAATTAAATAAATCTATAAGATCTGAATGAGGAAGGAGTGTGGACCATGTCTAATCATAATTACGATAATGTTTATTGGCTTCCTAAATTTACTTAACGTGACTTTGATTTTAGAGAATGGATAATGACAATATATGGTTGTCCAACATCCAAGAATATATGGTAGATGTATACATGCGAAGACTTTCTGATCTTATTCGATTAACTTTATATTTATAGTTCAATGGGAAATTACATGTGATCGAGGAGACATTAACATGATCAGAATTAATCACATGTAATTAATAAGTAATTTAACTACCTGATCATTGTTGTGATTTTGAGATATTTTATATTTTAGGATTTTTTAAAATTAACAAATTATTTTTTTTTTTAATTTGTATTAGCCCCTCTAGGGTAGAGGCAAATACAAATTAAAAAAAATTAACTTGTTGAATAATTAATGGTTAGTTATCGATCGAAATTAATTATGAGATAAATGAAGGTCCTACAATGAACTGATCTGACAGGGATTGAGTCTATTTAAAGCTACATTATTATTTATGCCGGTCGATGTGAATAAATTTGTTTCAAATTATCAAACGTTTGATTCTGATTACCATTTAACGCATGTAGGATTTATGTGATTGACGTTTCATTGAATTAAACACAATTAGTGTATTTAGTACAAACAATACAATTACAACTGGATACAATAAACATTATATAACGAAGTCGGGCAAAATGAATGGGTATATAACAAAGAAAATTGGATAAAACTAGAAATCAGTTAAACTTTAATAACTTAAAGTCGTCAGGATTTAAAGTCCAAATAAAAATTCTATGTAATGGTCATTTTTAAATAAAAATAAAAATAAATTTTGCTTGAAGAAAAACCTATATATATAAACTATGGTCTGATTATTTGCAAAAAAATATGAAAAAAATAGGAAATGTAAATTTTGTGTTTTTTTTAAAGTAAATCATGTTTTTTGTTAAATGTAAAGCGTTAACTAAAAAATATTTAATAAAGGTAATTAAAAATTACAGTTAAGAAAATATTTAATAAAGGTAATTAAAAATTACAGTAAACTAGACAAAATGTACTTCAAATGAGACTAAAATTTGTCATTGTTGAAACCATTGAAATACGACATTTAAGCGGATAAACGTTCTGTTTTTCTTAATAACATGGATTATTTTCTTTTATTATCGGACTACATATATACTTTTTTTTATCAAAAAACTTTCTTGTTTAATAAGCTTTAAGTCCATAATACATTAAGTTGATGTTTTTAGAGAATAGGTACTAGTTTTTGTGAAACAAAAGAGATTTAATATTAGGTCTTCCCCAGAGTACCTGTGTTTTCATAAAAATTGCCTACAGTTAATTATTGCAAAGCTTTCATTTATTTTTTTCAATGACCTGAGATGTATTGTAATAAATGAATCATAAAAATACACTTATTATTAATATAAATTCTTAATTAATTAATTAATTAACTAAGCTGCATTTGGGTGGAATTTTGTAGCATTTAGAAATTCAAGGAAGAAAACTCTACTTTTGAAAAAGAATATTTTTTCAGAAGAAATGACCTTTAAACGAAACGTGATAACCCTAAAAGATAAAAGCCGCAAGGCTTATAATAGAGAGCACAAATACCAATTTCAAGCAAGAGATCATTATTATAAATGAACATTTTCAGAAAAAAAATTTAAATGTATCAATTTTATAATTATTTTTTACTAATGAAAAGTGAATTGTCATAAAATACATTCCAGGTCATAGGAAAGAAATAAATATAAACTATTTAATAATTTTTTGTTGTTATTTTAGGTAAAGATACAGCTACTTTGGGGTTACAGAACATCAAATTAAATAATTTATTTACACAACTGAATATAAACTTAATCCGTTACAAAGCCCAACCATATTGATGTGCACTTAAAGACAAGACCTGGGCACTCTTGAAATAATTTATATCTGAAACAATTATCATGGATATTCCACGAATGAATCATTTCGGGAATAATGGTTATTTCTGAAATAATATTTCAAACTGTCAATGAAATAATCTCGATGGAATAACTGCTAAATTTATTTCTGAAATAATTATTTCAATATTTTAACAGTCTTTGGAATAAAGTAAATTATTTCGAAATGAGTTATTTCTGAAATAAATTATTTGATAACTATTATTTCAGAATTATTTATTTCATAAATAAATTATTGTAAAAATCAAGAAATGAATATTTCAGAAATAACATAAAAAATTTACCAATATACAACATGTTTTCATGGTATCTTTTTATAAAAAAAAGAGTCGAATTTGAGATTTCGCCCCCCCCCACCAGCATCGACTTATTGTAAATTTTGGGATTTAATCGATATCAGAGTCGACTATAATGTTTTCGGGGTAGCTTATTATGAAAATACGGTCGAATTTGAGATTGCGCCCCTCCCTCTCCCCATCGACTTTTAGTAACCTTACGGATTTAATCGATATCAGGGTCGACTATTATGTTTTCGGGGTAGCTTATTATGAAAATACGGTCGAATTTGAGATTGCATCCCTCTCTCTACTTGCCTTTGAAGGAAATTTCATCAGGTTCACTATGAAGTATGGTCAACTACCTAAATTAAAAAAAAAAAATTGAGTAATCCTTTCCTTCTTTAGAGAAAACGTCATACTTAAAAAATACAAATAAAAAAAAATACAAAACAAATTATCTGCTATTCTGTGCAAAATCAGACCATAGTTATACGAAATTATTTGTAGCTCTTGAGGAGTGATGTCACCTCTATTCTAAATATTTCCCTTTACTTATGGGACATCTTGCGTATATAATGATGCAACTCATACAAGGATGTTTCTGGCAAATACACTAATGTATTAAGTATTTTATTGATAATTACCTGTCCTTCTGAACCCTCGGCAATTGCTGTGTCTGATGCCTGACTCAGGTCCCTCTTCATGAGCGGTGTGGAGAACACAGCGTTCACAAGGAGAAGAGTGATCAGGGCGATCCCCTTACATTGGATATGGCTCAGCATCGCCTGAAAATATATTACATATTATATATTGAAAATATATTAATTCATTGTTGTCCATAAATAACTTTACAACATCTAAATACATATGAAAATATAGTCTACATTTAGAAAAAAAGGTGATTCTTCAGATCATTGTTTATTTTCAATGATAAAATAATTAATTTTTTATTAAAGAAATTATTATTATATCGCTGTCTATATTAAATACATTATAATTAAGGTTTATATCAAAGAAATTATTAATAATGTATATATTAAAGAAATTATTAATAATGTATATATTAAAGAAATTATTAATAATGTCTATAAGTGAAGGAGAAAAGAGAGATTTTTTTTTTGTCTGCTTATTGCCAATAAAATGGTATTTTAAAGTCAACACAATACAAGCTATAAACTCTATTCTGGGATAATTGAATTTATGTGTAAATGATTTTGAATTTTTTTTTTCAAAGTAGGAATATTGCACAGTGGATCAACGAGCGAGTTTACAAGGACAAATTTTAAATTTTGATATTTAATATTTAAAAGGAAACCGTTCACAACAAAACTACACTATACAGTGACATGTAACTAGATATATTAGTGTCGTTTTTTTACACTAACGATTCAATAAAACTTATATTTTCTCCATTATATGTTTCCTGCAGAATTGAAAGCTATTGAAAATATGAAAATATTTGAATGAATTGTAAATTAAAGTAAATTATATCTTTAAATCGATTTTAAAGAGGTACAGAATTCAGCTTGTGGTTGTTCTAATCGTATTTCTATCTTAAATATATATTAAATTTTTAACTCGAAACGGAAATTATTTTAATTCTTTAAAATATAACAATTTGTTGTCATTTATTTGTTTATTCAATTTTTTTAATATTTACTTGTTGTAAAGAAAAACCATCAATGAGAGACCATGAGGGCTATATGAATTTGGATTTAAAAAAAAAAGTGTCTAATATATTACAAAAAATGTTTTTATATCAATTTCGCAACCAATATTCAATCATCAAGCTTTTATTGTTAGACAACGGTTTGACTGCCTATGACACAGTCTGCTGTATAATATATACATTTCTTTGTCACTGAGAACATTAAACAGGTCAATAAAATCAAATCTCGTTTATTTATTATAAATAAAATAAAAATTAAAACCAGTTCATTTTTTCTTCATTTTTCAATTATTAAAAATATGTTAAGCCCCACACTGTAGGTTTCATCATTTTATATAAAGATTATGATGTGAAACCATAATATAAAAATTATGTTTTATTTAAGAATTAAAATAAAATAGTTAGATAATAATGATTGTATCGCTAAACTGTCATTAGTAAACTATCATAAATATTTCCATAATTACATAAGAACCGGTTCATGGCCAAGAGAAAGTGCATGGTTAGTTCCATTTAAACCTCAACTGTTAAATGACATATTTCTATTCGGCAAGGAAGGTCATTTTTTTTTTCGAATAACGCTTTTATTGACAAACTCTAGTCTAATATTCTTTCAAAATTTATCTTTGTAGAATAAATATTGAGAATCAGAAAAATCTAAAATTGATTTTAGCACTAATTTTCTATAGAAAAATCGACAATATTTCCTTGCAAAAAAAATTTTTACCACCATCTTCTCGTTATATTATTTAGAGGATATTATAGGATTATTCATTCTGGACTGGTGGAGTTCCGAATAGAATATTATTTTGTGACGGATGTAAAGTCATTAAAACCAATATAAAGCAACTTATATGGTTATAACTGTTGATATTTAAGTAACGAAAAACTCACAATTTGATACTGAGTACTAGATGCTGAGAAAAAAGTTTCTTATGAAACCCTGCGAACTTTTTTTATCATGATCCATATAAGTAGTATCAGTAAATAGACAAAACTTGGTCTGTAGTTTCAGGATGAAAGTACTGACCTATTTAGATTTTTTTAGTTGACAATTTTGCATATTTTAACGTTCCCGCAACTCAGTTACGGTCCAAAATGTTACATTTAAATCATGCAGCAAATATAATGTTCTTTAGCATTGCTAAGATCATTTAATTTGCCAAAAATGTAATCGAAGTGAACTGCTGAGAAAAATCGGAGGGGGGGGGGGAGGGGAGAGGGGGAAACCCTTTTTTAAGAAATTATTTCAAGATAGCGGAAAATAAATCTTGGAAGGTTGAAAACATAAATTTTTTAACGAGGGGAACAATACTTATACAAACCTGAAAATCAAAATTATTCTATTTTTCGAAACCCAACATCTCATTTTTAGATATTTTTATTATTTGGTTAACTTAAAATCAAAGTTTCTTCTTGAAAATATACTTACTACATTATTATATAAAATATACTTATATTTTATAATTAGCACTTATAAGTATATTAAGTATAGCAATAATTGTCAGGTTTACATGTTCTGATTAAATGAATAATTGTTTGGCTCTCCATCTACCAGGCTTATTTATTTCAAGACTAATAAAATTTATTTTCCGTTACCATTCAGTTACAATGTATTTAGATCTGTATTTTTTATTTTTTATTTCGAAGGAGCATTATAGTTTTCCGAGACTAGTATATTTCGAAACTTTCAAACACTATAAGGTAAAATTAAACATGCAGTTATCGGCCCTTCACATTAATATTTTAAAGTTCTTTTCTATTACGATTTTTCAGTCAGATCAGTTTATTTAAAATTCAACTAATGCGTAATAGTTTTACAGTCTGTTAAATATTTGATTACAAAAACTTATAAGAAACGAAACTGTAAATAATAAAAACATAATTGTAAAATATCACTCCACCGTCCATAATAAAAACATCTTTTGTAGCCTGCAAACTAACCTCATTGAGTTTTAAATTTTTATGAAGGAAGTTTGAGAATATTTCTCCAGCGATGGGAAATCGTTTTTGCATAATACATCAAAATATGCTAAGGAGATGCTGATGAAGAAGATGGAGTGGGATGCTAATGGTGAAAAATAAAAAAAAAACCTATCAAACCGCATTTATCCCCTCAGCCTCAGGGATAACACAAGATCCATAACATCATTATAAAACATATTAAAGATTATTATAAGCACTACTTTTTTCATTAGCAAAGCTCATTATTTATAGATGGGTTCTGTTAAGTGTTTATAACTTCATTTCTCTGGCTAGAAATAATTTTATATTACTTGTTCCATTGAGTGAGTGACATTAAATGTATTATAAATTATTCAGAAGGAGATTATTTATTTTATTTTATTTTAAACTTGAACCGGTCATTCTTAATATCAATTTAATAAATCTGAAAGATGAATATAATTAAATATTTTAACTTTTTCCCTACAGCTATAATTAATGTAGCCCATAATCGGTCTTGGTCTTGCAAAGTACAAGACAAAGATCGAGGCCACCTAACTGTTGCAAGACCAATACCAGTTCTGGTAAAAAAAAAATTGATTTTTTAAATAAAAATTAAGAGAAAATAGTTACTAATACTTGACAATCTTAGTTACTATATGTTAATAACTGGTATAACCAATATACTTTTGCATTTCATTCCCCTAATTTTTCATTCGGGCTTAGTGAGGTTTTTCCTATCTAAACGATTACAGTAATATCTCTATAGTACTACGCTAATAAGTAACTGCAAGACTCTTGTGCAAGGCCAAGACCATGACAAGACTGAGTTAGCAAGACTCGGTCTCGCATTTGGGCAACACTAATTATAATACTAAACTAATGCATTCAGTTAAAATGGTAAAAGAAATAAACTTAAAATGTAGATTTTCAAATTACATGATTATAGAACTTTTCATTTCCAAAGGTGATGCGATAAGTCTCGGCGATACGAAACACCTGTCGGCGCCGATATCGTGATATAGTTGAATTAATATATATTGAATTATAGATAGCGCGATAATAGGCAGCGATAACGATAATGAGTATCGTATCGTCGGGACATAACATATCGCGTCCAGTTTTTTAGGTGCCTTAAGAGTCTGATAAGTCCGTTTACGTTATAGTTTTCAGCGATTCTGTTTTCCGCGTTTAAGGCTCCTACACAAAGAATAAGATACGATTTTCCTTTCGGCGGGATTATAGCGATATAGCTGTATTACTATCTATGGCATTATAGCTGTCATAAATAATCCGCAGCGATACCGACAAAGGTAATCTTATTCCCGGTACATATTGCGTTCTGGGTGTAAGAGCCTTTATTGTTAAAACTTTTGAACTTTCAGATATATAAATGAAGTTAAAGCTCACATTATATATTAGGTTTGACTGAAAAAGGTCGAATCTTATGAATAATAAACCTTTGACGTGCAATTTATTATTGTCCCAAAAATCAAAAATAGATTACTTTTTATTCGTCCACTCCTTCCTCACCTTTTAGACTACAGGTAATTATTTCATAGATCAGAGGACAAGGCCCGGAGTTAAAACCCTCCTCGTTACCGGGACGCGATATTTTATTATCATGTTTATTTTATTATGCCATTTACGTACCGGGCAGCACATGTTTTTCACACGCGTTAGTCCGCTCGCCCACCCCATCCAGAAATAGTTCAGTTGACCCAAAAATAGGTAGGTCGGTCCAGGTCATGCGTGATGTGATTTTCCTTGTATTTTTGGACGTAGAATCGATAAGTATCAACCTCAGTATCTTATTTCATCAGAGAGCCGAGATATTGATATACTCTAGATTTTTCGGGATCAATTTGAATAACTTTTTGTAGTCCGAGGAAGTGGCCAAACGATTATTTTTCAACACACAACTGGTCAATAGGGAGGAATTCTTTTCATTAAAATCGATGTTTCGTCCCACTATGGAACTGACAAAACTAACTAAAACACATTCTTGAGAAATAATGTATGAAAATTCTTAAAATTTTAACAAGAAATATATTGTGGGTGATAAATAGTCAGGACTCAGTCATTGTATATTTCATTTTATTTGTGCCAACGTTTCAACCCAAACATGTCAGTCATCTTCAGGGCGTGGTTCGTACTGAGTACTTGAAAGCCTTCAGTGCTCGAACCACGCCCTGATACACAAATAAATATGCACAAA